TTTCAAAGTTTGGGGTTTAGGTAAGTTTCTTCATCCCAAAACTGTAAGCACACTCCTGCCCCCGGTCCCCGTCCTTGAACTCCAAACCCGAACCAGGCGGGGCAATCCTTAGAATCCAGCAGCATCGGCGCTGCGCAGCAGGCTGCGAAAATTGGCAAGGCAGGGGGAGCTTGCTGGTTTAGGGTTTAGGGTTTCCAGTTCAAAGCTTCGGGCTCTTCGAAAAGGGGTTTAGGGTTCACAACGGCTCGGGTGATCTTGGATGTTCAGGGAATGACCGGGAAGGCTCGAGGGTGGTAATCCTCGTTTTCACTTCGAGATGTTCCATGCTCAGTCATGCTACATCTGTCCTTAGACATGCAGCTGCAACGAGCTCGTTGTGTTTCACACCACTCGTGTCGTTTATGCGTCAGCAAGTTCTCGTGACTCCGTCACTGTCTACTACGACTACGACTACGACCAAACCACAGACGACTGCTACTAGAACTTCTTGCTGCTGCCGCAGCTGCTACCACTGCTAGTCCTAGCAGTACTAACAAGAGCTAGTAGGGAATAGACCATAATTCCCATAGTGTAGGGCCCTTATAAGGTAATCCAGGGTTTAGATCATCAGCAGTAGTTGTGACAAAAAAATCCTGATCCCAAGACCCCGAAGGCCACTCTACGAGCCGAGGCTCTGCCCTGAAGCAGCTTTAGGGTTTAGGGTTTAGGGTTTAGGGTTTAGGGTTTAGGGTTTAGGGTCTAGGGTTTAGGGTTTAGGGTTTAGGGCAGCTTTTGGAGCCCCATGCCCCAACCTACAAGCCCAAATGAAAGCGCATACAAGCCTTGTAACCCCGAAGTTGAATCCTAAGACGAATAAATTCAAAACCCCCCAAACCCCTAAACCCCTGAATGAAGTCCTAAGACCTAAACCCCCCTAAACCCTAAGCCATGAACCCTAAACCCTAAGCCCCAAGCCCCGATCCCTAAACCCCTAAACCCCAAATCCCGAAGCCCCAATCCCTAAACCCTAAACCCTAAACCCTGAGCCCCAATCCCTAAACCCTAAACCCTAAACCCTAAACCCCAAATCCCTAAAGCCCTCAACCTTAAACCCTCAACCCTAAACCCCAAACCTTAAACCCTAAACCCTAAACCCCAAATCCCCAAACCCCTAAACCCTAAACCCTAACCCCTAATCCCTGAAATCCCCAATCCCAAAACCCCTGGGAGGCTAGCGGCCTTTCGCCTGAGCAGCAGCTGAAGAACGCGGCCATCACCGTCGCGCTCGCCACAGGGTCGGGGGGGGTTTGGGTTGTTTTTTGGGTTAGGGTTTAGGGTTTAGGGTTTAGGGTCTAGGGTTTAGGGTTTTTGGGGTTTAGGGTTTAGGGTTTTTTGGGGTGTTTAGGGTCTAGGGTTTTGGTGGGGAGTTGGGGGTGTGCGTCTAAGAGTTTGTTTGGCAGCCCTCTAGACACTACACTCCGAAGCCCCAAAACTCTAGACCCCCACCGAAACCCTAAACTCTAACTCTAAGCCGTTTGAGGTTCCGGGGAAGGGATGGTTTTGCTGGTGGTGACGATGATGGCTAAGTTTTACTATGTTGATAGGCATGACAATGGTACAGATGGTCCTGATAACGATAATGATGGTTATGATGATGTCGATGCAGGCGATGCCGATGACAATCAACATGATGATCCCGGATGATGATGCTGGTCGTGGCCGAGCTTAAGCCCGAAAGCCTGAAGCCAGATATTTCTTCGTCAGCCTTAGCCTTCTTTGTTTTGGTATTCTTGGAGCTTGCAAGCCGAGGGTGCTTGCTGGGAGTTCTGACTCTGCTGCCAAACATGGCCATCAGGGTTTAGGCTTCAGGGATCGGGCTTTAGGGTTTGTGTTATAGGGTGCAGGGCCTTGCTGGTCATCACGTGTTTTTTCTGCTTTTTCGTCTCCATTGACACAGGGCCCTGGGCCACAGCGATCAAAAGCGAGCCGACATGGCCTACGCGACCGCCTACGCCGGGCTGGCAGAGGGACCAGGGGGGTTGGAGTTTAGGGTTCGGAGTTTGGGGTTAAGGGTTTTGGGTTTGGAACGTGGGGTTTAAGGTTGAGAGTTTAGGGTTTATGGTTTAGAGCTTTGGGTTTGGAGTTTGGGGTTTAGGGGTTGGAGTTCAGTTTGGGGGCAGGTCCAAGGGTGATAATTTGCTTGAAATCCAAGAACACCCTAGGCCCCAACCTCCCCGCACTCTAACCCCGAACCCTAAACCCCAAACCTTAAACCCTAAACCCTAAACCTTAAACCCGAAACCTACGGCCACGACTTTAGCGCGAGGATTCAGGGTTCAGGGTCTAGGTGAGCTGCAGAACTCTCAGTCCTCCAAACGCCATTAGGGGACGCTCATCGTCAGACCTTGTGGGTTTGGGGTTTAAGGGTTTAGGTTTTGGGGTTGAGGTATTACGGTTCAGGATCTGGGTTGAGGTTTTAGGGTTCAGGATTTAGGGTTGACGTTTTAGGGTTCAGGATTTAGGGTTGAGGTTTTAGGGTTCAGGATTTAGGGTTGAGGTTTTAGGGTTCAGGATTTGGGTTTGAGCGTTTAGACCTTGTTTGTAAAGAGGTATGGGATTAGCTGTCCTTTGACTTGTGGCCCACCCTATGACTCGCACGAGTCTTGCGGCTTCTCTCTTACACCCAAACCTCAAGCCCACAATTCCGAGGTCGTAACCCGCAACCCGGCAACACAACACCTTCCAGCCCTAAACCCTAAACCCTAAACCCTAAACCCTAAACCCTAAACCCTAACACAACGCCTTCCAGCCCCGAAGCTTGAAAGCCCCAGCCGCTTGCGCCAAGTCCATTGCGCCTAGCATCGATTTCGCGACTCCGGAGGATCAGGCCCTAATCCCCAAACCCTGAACCCTTAAATGCCTAAACCCTAGACCCCAAAACCCTAAACCCTAAACCCCAAGACCCTGAACCGTAACCCCAAAGCCCTAAACCCCAAAACCCCAAAAAGCCCTAAGCCCTAAACTCGTGCGCGAGTGTGCGGAGGGCTTCAGGGCTTCAGGGTCTTGTGATGCTGTGGCGCTAAGCCCTAAGCCAGCCCCTTTGGCGCCCGAGTTTCCGACGTTTGTCAGTGCGCATGGATGGTACTTCCCGGATTTCTTCGGGCTTGAGGTGCAGAGGATAAGGAAGGTGCCCAGTATTCCTTGCAGCATCCCCCATCTTTCAGCCGCAGAAAGAAGTAAGCTACCCCGCACCCCTGAAGCCTTTGAACTGAGCTGCCCTGAAACCTCAAAGCCCTGCGCCTGAGACATGTGGACCGTGAAGCCTTAGTTAGGCCGAGGCTGCCTCTATGCAAGGCAGTCGCTAGAAGTCAGCACATAGGGCTGCACACTCGGAGATGACGCCTCTGTCAGTGCTCTCTTCGGAAATACTATAATACAATATAATATAATATA